GGTGGTAACCTTGTCTCTTGGAAAAGTAAGAAACAAACTGTAGTAGCAAGGTCGAGTGCAGAAGCAGAATATAGGGCAATGGCTCATACAGCTAGTGAGTTGACATGGTTACAACACTTTCTTCAAGAAATTGATCTCTTACCTTCCACTCCTATTCCAATGTTTTGCGATAACCAGGCTGCTATACATATTGCATCCAATCCAGTCTTTCATGAGAGAACCAAACATATCGAAGTTGATTGTCATTTTGTCCGGGACAAAATAGTGAGTGGTGATATATGTACACCATTTGTGAAGACGGGAGATCAGCTTGCTGATATTTTTACAAAGTCACTGAATGGTAATAGGTTGAAGTTTCTTTGTTCCAAGCTGGGCTTATGTGATGTATATGCTCCAGCTTGAGGGGGAGTGTTAAGGAAATAAATCAAGTCAATTAGGCAAGAGAAAAATCAGAGTTTATTGTGTTTCCATTCTTGTACCAAGTTACCAAACATGTACTCTTTACTTTTCTATATAATGAAATTAGAGGGGAAGAAGGAACTTAACTTCAACTCCCGATTTATGCCAAACCTACTTTTCTACACTACTTAAATGCTTTCAGCAATCACAATAAATGGTTGTTGAATGTGTGTCCTGCAGAGTCCTCTAGTACGAGCAAAATGTTTACTAAATACTCAACTCCCTTACCTTACATGACTAATTGTCTAACAGTACCCTGAACCACGCTCATGTACCAGTCTAATGGGTGAACATCCCCTCGGAAATAGGTGGAAAAAGGCCGGCATTGAGTTGCCATCTTTTGATCCCTGCTTGAAAGTTGGGTGTGTCTTGCAGTCAAACTCCTTTTATCCTCTGCACACAACAGCCAGGATACTTTTACACACTTCTGTTACCTTTAGTAAGGGAAATGCCCCAAATACTGGATCTCTTGTTCATATCTGCCTTCAGGCCATACACTCTCTAAAATGCATGTGTAGTAACAGTTACTCTTATTCTTTACTAATCAGAGGCCAAATGATTAAAGAGCGGCATGAAACACGAATAAATAGAAGTGAAAATTTTGCTGAAGCCATAGACAGGAATTAAGTAAAGACCAGATATGCAATATTAGAGAAAATGTCGCAAATTACTCAGCAATGGAAGCATTAAACTTACCTTCCTACAAGTCGACATAGGATCATCAGAATAAAAAGGTGGGTATCCCACAAGCATTTCATACATGATAGCACCAAGTGACCACCTGCAGAACAATGACTCGCCTGATGTTGCAATATAGGATGTAAATAATCTACTTTTTCTTTTTATGGACTGGGTGTGTGGGTGAAGTACACTTTGGGAAAACTTCTTTTCTTTCACGTTTTACAAATAAAGCACAGATGATTGCATAAAATGAGGCTGCGTCAAGGGAAAGGAGCCAGCAAATAAAAGATGTTACCAGACTTATTGAGCATGAATATCGTTTAGTAAAATCTGGACATTTATCTCCCCACATGGAATTAGTACACTCTCATGTTGGAATACTAGATGCAGTTCATTTTTTTAATGTAATAAAAAAATTCCATGGTCTCAAAAGGCATGCAAATAAATTCAATCTGAGTTTTTCAACATGCAGAATTTAAAAGGTCACTCATATCTGTGAAAGCAAAAACTAAACGAAAAGAACAGAGATGTAAATAAAACAACAAATGCTCCTTTGGTACAAGGAATGAACTACTAACCAATCACATTCCATTCCATAACCTTTCTTTAGCAGAACTTCTGGAGCAATGTAATCAGGTGTACCAACAGTGGAGTATGCCTGCAAGGATCCTTATCCAATATCAAAAGCAAAACTAATGCCTCAAGCACCAGTCTCAAAAATAACATTACCACAACACTAAAATTCATTCCTCCATATTTTCATGTCCAAATGATTAATTTTTCCGTAGCTCATTATGTCCATTATATGAACCATCCAATTACTTTTTCTTTCATGTTAGCAATCAACATTAAAAAAATCTCAGTAAATTGAGACTAAGAAAATATGTGCACGTGTGGAGCTTAAATTTTTAATTAATGATAGTTTACTTATAAGTTTGGCCGTAGATAATTTTTTTTATGTTGATCAAGTTGGAGATAACAAAAGTTACTTCCTCGAATACAACCGCTACTTTACTATCAGAATAACATTTTTTAACTTAAGAGGTAAGAAAAAAGTAACCCATCCAAACTTTTTGGGAAAAAAAATTGCTTAAAAATAAGTCTGACTTAGCTTAGCCGAACATGCTCTACAAGGATAATTGACTTTCTGTAACAGTGAAATGAAACTTACAAGCATCCGCCTATTTTTCTGCCAATGTTGTAATTGTTCCTGTTGTGTTCGTTTAGGAGCTTGAGTACGTTCATCTCTTCTTGAAGTTCCATTAAGGCTCTCGCCAACTGAAAAGTCCTCTTGCAGAGTACTGCAGTCCAAAGGTTTACACAGGCCGAAATCTGATAATCTTAAATGACCATATTTATCGAGTAATAAGTTGTCAGGCTTAATATCTCTGTAGCAAATCAACGTTAATAAAAGCTGTCAGACTAATCATAACACCCCCAATGAAAATGCAGAAATCAAGAAGGAATCAACTTTAAAATCAGACATCCACAAACCTATGTATATAATTATGTTTGTGGATAGATTCAATAGCTAATACTGTCTCTGCTATGTAAAATCTGGCCTCCTCATCAGTCAAGGTATCCTTTCTCATAAGTAAAGTCATCATATCTCCACCAGGTAAATATTCCATTATAAGATACAAATACTCTTCATCTTGAAAAGAACAATAGAGTTTGACAATACAACTACTGTCCACCTCTGCAAGCAGGTTCCTTTCGGCTTTCACATGTTCTACCTAATAGGAGGAAGAATCTAAAATCATTAGTCAAAAGAAATGCACCAAAATCATCTGAAGATCAAGAATCGCATACCTGGCCTCTACGAAGCATTTCAGATTTCTTAAGTTTTTTCATCGCATACACCTGACCTGTTGTCTTCTCCCTACAAATTCTAACCTACGTAAATCAGGAAGCAATTATTAGGAACTTCCTTTTTGTGTGAGATGTAAGTTCTTAAAATCCCTCAAGGCATCAACCAAATACATTTACACGTGGAGGAACCACATAAACAATAAAAGAATATGACGCAAGAAAGAAAAGAATAGGAGAATAATCAATGGCATGGCTACCTAATGTCTAGAAAATGTGCACTTGAATTTTCCCCCCTCTCAATTCACTTGAAAGAATGTCTACAGACAAATCATTTCTCCAACATTTATATATGTCCATGTCAGAAGGAACCTGCCTTTCTATTTTCCCTTTCTTACCTTTTTTTTCTTCTTTCTAAAAAAGAATGTAATATAATAAGAATAGCATTCTACGCAGAAAACTCCGGTACTAGTGAACTATGCGGTAAAATAATTATTATTCAGGACAGGTCACATCAAGCCAAAACAAATAACTTTTGAGCATGAAGTTGCTACTCATTGATGCATCTACAATTTAACAAAATACCAACAAGCAGTGTTGAAATTTTTGTTTGGACAATATTCCCCAATTTAACATTTATAGTTCAAATTCTAAATCTATAAGAATCAAATTAACATAACCAGAGGTAGAATGAGTTTTCATTCCATATGAAAAAACCCAACTTTGCAGGAGAACCCAAAATTATTCCTTCATTTTCAAATTGATTTCCCTACTTTGAAGTTTTACTTAGCTGAAATTCATATCAGATGGTGTCGTTTACTTGATGAGAGTGCCTTAAAATTCTCTTTATAGATTTAAAACGGAAAGACGAGGAATTTCTAATAACAGGGTGGTTTTTTAGCTTATTTTGGTAACAGGAAAATTTTAGCTACTTCCGAAAACCATAAAGATTTGAAATCAACAGAAAAGCTGAATTTTCAAATCAACTCCAAACCAAAATGTAGTTGTAACTTGTAAGGCTCAAAGGATGTTCCAAAGAGGAAAGACGACATATATTACTAACCTACACGCTAAATATGCTACCATACAAATACTACTGCACACTTTGAAGGGATGCCTACTTATCATATACTATTCAATACTTCATCCATGTAGAAAATGATCAAAACATAGAGATATTAACGTTTTCAATTGAGAGAGGCAACGTAAGGAGTCATGTGACCTCAAAGGCAAATTGCTTCAGATGCTCACAATCTCGAGCAGTAATAAACTACACTGCTGAAACAACTTCAGAATCAATATTTGTATTAGTAACATCTACACCTTTTGTATTCAGCTTTTAATAGTTATTGCACCCAAGTGCACGCATTAAAGACCCCTGTTCTAATACATTGCCCTATGGTGTGTAAGGTGTAATGGAGAGAAAAACAGAAGTGTGTCTTTGGCTCTTCAAGAACAGCTCTTCATCATTTGTAAAGGGCAAGATGTCAAGACCATCAGTATATTTAGCTGTTATGCTTAGCAGCAAAACATATAGCCATTGCACCCAAGTGACGACAATAATTTTAGAGGGTCATAAAATAGAACAGGAACAAATTGAAATACAAACTTCGTTAGGGAAGAATTTATTAACGGTTTATTTATGAATGGATAGAAATGGGTTGTGGATAATACTTTTGGGTCCATTAGAATGTGTAGTTGAAAATGACGTTTGACATTTTGTAAATGATATATAAATTTTGCCAATCAAATATTAAATAGTAAATGTGGAACTAATTATTGAAAATAGAGATTTATCGTTTGGTCGAGTCAGTCATATTTTCATTGAAAATCTTTACCTCCCCAAAAGCACCCTTGCCAATCATTGTCAGTAACTCAAAATCATCAGCACCCATTTTGTGTCTCTGAAGGCGCATATATTCAGTTTCCTTCTTCTCTAAAAATTTGAATAGGTTATTTTGATCTTCCTCTGATACATCAGCATCAGCTAGCTTCTTCTCGAGCAAATTTCTCCTGTTTGCACGCAATTGAAAATAATTACATGTTCCCATACAAAAAATATAGTAAAGTTCAAGATAATTTACCACAGCAAATAGTTCGGACTCAAAATATGAAGCCCTGCAAAGTAAATGACACTGAAAAGACGGGATGGACCTACAGTTGGGTTAGTTGGCGCATGCAACTCTCCCACTGGGTTCGGATGAAATCTTAATTTTTTTTCTTGCCCTCCATCTAATCTCTCTCTCTCTCAAATACACACATTGTGAATGCTTTGTACAAAGAGATATGTGGTATATGAGAGTCCATATCTACCAACTACTCAAGGAGACATGTTCAATGTTAAAAACTAACAAACCAGATTAACTGCCTGATGATGAACGCTCGTAACAAACTATCACTAATCTTGTATGAGAAAAGAGGAGAAAAAGGAGAAGATATAGAAAAAGAAAGGAAGAAGGGGAGAGAAATTATGTATTCTATTCAATCATCACAAGTTGTCTTACAGTGAAAAGTGCTCTCTTAAATGTACTAAAAGTTCATAAAGAACACGTGGAAACTACCTAATAATAATCATGAAAGGAAATATAGGAAAATCAACCTAGCCTCCATTTAGGAAGAATTTATAAACGGTTTAATTTATATATAGATAGAACGTGTGGCGAATAAATAAGTAGTACTTGTGGATCCATTGGAATGTGTGGTTGAAAATGAAGTTTGACCATTTATAAATAATTTATAAATTTCGCCAAATGGAGGCTTACTAATTACAAAAAAAACTCATATTCTAATCTATGGCAAATCTTTCCATAAATAGTTTTCTCCATCACTGCCTAAGTAGATTTAATACAGCTTGCAGGCAACTCCCGTGCTCAAGGTCCGGAGAGAAAATAGAAGTACATTGAAATGTGTTATTGGGGCACATTATTGCTAAATAAAGAGAATTATGTTCTCTTATATTTATATTTTTGCTTGTCAATGTTATGCAACTCTTGTAGGCATGGCAAAATACCATATTCAAATTACAAATCACTTTTTTTGCACAGGAAAACAGTAGATTGAGAAATATATTGGATAGCATTGATATTGAGGTCCTAACAACATTTTCAAAGTATGAAACCCCAATGGAATAATCTTACTGTATCAGAAAAATATTATTACAAATATTCTTGTGTTATTATCTTGTTACAAAATTTTTAATCTAATGACGCCACTACACTGCATACCATCTCCGTGAACAGAAGGTTTATTGGCTTATGGTGCAATATACCTACTTTTTTATGAAGTATTAAAGAATACATCAATTCAGAGCAAAAATCACTTCTTCCTTGTTTTTAGATCAAATGATGAAAAACAGCAGTTAAAGAAAAACACCCCCTGGACCTTGAATGTAATTTTCCTGAATTCATTATAAAGTTATTACTATATTACTAACAATCTGCTCATAAATGTGCAAAATACACTTCATCATATCTGTCATTTAGTATCATTTGCTCCACAGGTAGTGCTTACAGAAAAATGCAACTATAGATTAACATTTATGCATTTCTTATAAAGCCAATATTGCTACAGTTTAAACCAGTGCTTGATTTGAAGGGTAAAAATGACAGCACTTCCCTTAAGCAAAAGCTCTATCAAAGATTATCTATAATGGGACAAAATAAGTGTATCTTACACACCATAAGAAGGTGTCGGTTAATCCTATAACAGATTTCCACTGTTGCTTTCAAACAAAATAGTGGAACTGTAAACTTTATCGACGTGTAAATAAAAGAAAAGGAAGAGGCACTTATAAAATTTTGCATACGGTTGAATTAGAGCATGTTTGGTATTTAATTTTTTAATCACTTCTGGTCAAACCTATTTTTTATCGAATGGGACCAACAAGTACTACTCATTTATCTTACTACTTGTTTCTATCTATTTATAATTTAAACAAATTATAATCACCTACCAAACATACTCTAAATAACCATAAAAAATATGAAGATTCAAAAGAAGTGCTACAGACTATGTTTTTCAGTGCATGGGCTTAAAGAAACACGGGTGCTTCAACTAAAAAGATAAAAAGTTTCAATTGGTTTCCAATGTTTTCATTCCACCAACCACTTCGTTCCAGTACTTCAAAAATAAGATTTGAATTGCACTTTGGAACTTATACAAGAAAGGAAATCAAACCTACTCTTCAAGATGAATTTGATATTTCCATCCTAAACTAAGGGTTTTTGGTCTACAGAAGTAAACGGGGTTAAGCACGTGAAGGTGAGATTAACATCCTTACCATAGTCTCATCATAGAGTAATCTAACCACGCATCACATGAGAAAAAATTGAAAATTGCACATTAAAGCAACTACTTGTGACCAAAGCACATATCATAAGCATATCATTCAAATGCAACTTTACCAACCATTACATCATGCCCTTGAGCCCGGAAATTATCTAATGCAAAAATAGAAGGCATGATATTAAGCAACAAAATCAAATAATATTCAGATCACATGGCATACCGCTCTCTCCTCTCCTGCAAATTCTTCTTCTGCTCCTTGTAATGATTTTCTATGAACTGCTTCGCTGCAGCCACCCTCTGTTTCGTAAGATTGGAGGCCTCCTCAGACGAAAGCTGTTTTGAATCTTCCCTTTCACTATCCATTGTATCCTTCTTCTTACTCGATGTCCTCAAGCGATCACGCGGTTGAAACTTCTGGAACCAACTTCTCGTAGCCATTAATTACTTTCCCTCAGCTTAAGAGGTAATTTATACAGCCTCCAAACGAACTTCTCATTCTAAACTGATTTCATTCATTTCATCATGCCANCTAAAAACAATAAAAACCTAAAAATTCTAGAAAATTACAAATTAAAAAAAAAAAAAAAAAAAACAATGACCCTTGAACAATATACGAGCACACAGAAAAATCTCGTATTCAACCGCCTGCGAAAGGAACCGATCAAAATGCACAAAATTAAAATTCAATATATCTACACAAATTTTAGTATCTAGATTTTCCTATAAAAAGGAAGTACTGAAAAAAAAAGAAAAAAATCGATAACAATATTATCCGACAAAGGCGAAGCAATATGCAAAGTGATTGGCTTACCGCCAAATCTTCTTGTCGAGGAGAGAAAGACCCGATCCGCGAAATACAATCTTGCGCGTGTACGTATAAATATTAAATTGATGATGTGATTTATACGTTTATTTTAGAGAAAATCAAAATAAATTATGTGCATACAATGGAAAAATAATAGATAATTTGGTGTTTGCGCAGGTTGCAAATTATTGGCATTTGATCCGCTCGTATCGTCTACTATTTATAACTGCTTGTAGTTTGAATATTAATTTGTTCAAATATTTACTGTTGTTTAAAAAGAAAAGTAAAAAACATGGGTAGATGCTAAGTCGGCCATGTTTCTAAATGACGCCTAGATGATACGAGGCATGGGTGAAACATCTTGCCTCGCGAGCACGAAATTAAACGGTCAACTGTTAAATTGACAATTTAATTTGTTCTTATTAAATTTTTTTCTTTTTTAAAAAAAATATTTTATTTGATTTAGTTTCAAATTTTTATTTGAAAGTTCTTCGACTGACTAGGCCCCCGTTTGATCTATATTATTATCTCATTAAAATGAAAGATATGACCATTGTTCATCACATCGACATTTAAATTCAATAATGACTATATTTTTTATTCTCATTCCACAATAATTTGGCTCAAACAGGGCCTAATTGTAGGAATTATTAAGTGAATATAGTATTTTTATAATTTTATATACTTGGTATGTATTATTTTAATTATTCAATTATTTTTAGAATAATTAAAATTTTAAAATAATATTAAAAATAAGAAAATATTTTTCTCTCAAATTCGTTTTCAATCAAAATTTTTCAATAAAATAATTTTACACGTAAGTACAAATTTTTTTCAACTATTTAATCATATATTCTCAAAAAAAAAATTGTTATTATTATAAAAAAATAATTTTTTCAAAAAATATGGCTCAAACAAATAGTGAATGACAAGTTGATAACTCGTGTTTAATGTCAAAAGTGACTAAACTTTTACATCGTAAAATTCATAAATAAAATAAATAAAACGCGCGACAATTTGCATATTTCAAAATTGGCAATTATCCATTGAAGATGCAGTGGAAAATATGGGGAAAATACAAATAATACCAAACTTTCCTTTAAAATCATAGTTATTAGACTCGACTTAGATACTAATCCGAACAATACGGCTGGTCAACGGATCAATAGTTCAACAGTGCTCGGTGGTTCAATTGGTGAGTCAATTCTTGTCAAATATTTATATATCATAGTTATTAGACTCGACTCGAATACTAATCCAGACAATGCAGCATGTCGACTGCTAGGTCTTGGAACATCTCGTTGGTGGACATCAAGTTGAAGAAATATACATTTCAAGTCGTACTCAATTGAGATATTAGTGTCTCCTTGGTAATTTTTCCATTATAAACCAAACAAGTCTAAATCCTTGCATTAAAGTAATTTATAAAATCACATTTATTCTGTTTATTAACACGTCATTGGCTGCTAATTGACAAGTCTAGATAACATGTTCGTCTGCAAGACAATTTTTTTTTTTTTTTTTATGTGGTTAAAGAATGTAATTGTTTATTGTTAAGAGTTGACTTCTAAAATGATTGCACATGAACGTGCGTGCAAATACGTTTTTTTATTTTTTTCATTTTCAACGAATTTAGTAAGTTAAGAGCTTATATTCGTCCAGCAATAAAATTTACGTGATAAAATTTAATTATGTTATTGTGTAAAAATATACAAAAAAGAATACGTGACTGGTGAATATGAGCATAGTTCGACGACCCGATATTACAGATATCACTCGCGTTCGAAAAGTAAATGTTCTACAAGTAATCTGATACTCGCTGTCTTTGTAATTTATTTATTATGATCAAATTCTTCACAATATATGATAAGTCGATTAGATTGAAAAAAATATAAATAAATAATTTAATTATTATAAAATGATATCCGATCCTTAGATGATGAGTGATGACAATAGCTTTTTACCAAATCATGGAACGTAACCAAGCAAATAAAAACACCTCGTACATTTTGTAGAACGGTTGGTGTGGGGATTGCAATCAATCCCAATCATTACCTAACACGCTACTTTACCATATTTAGAGGGCTTCTCAATAAAGTAAAGTATTCTCGAACATTTTTAAGGTGTATTAAATATTTTAAATTTTTGTAGACTTTATCCAAATACGTCGGATTTTTGTAGACTTTATCCAAATACGTCGGGTTCCAATTTTCCATACCTTTTAAACTTGTGAGCATAAACACCTTTTTATGGTTTTCGTCAATGTTTGACCTTAATATATGTGCACTGAAAACGACCTTTAATGATTTCTATACAAAAATATTCATATTCTTCAATCCACAATCACAAAAAACCAAAGNATCCCGTTTTATATTTTAATAGTACACACGTCAAATCACAATATTAAATGTTCTCGACATTTGAAAACGTCATTCTCGACATATTAAATGTCTAGAAAGATATTTCATTTCAAATATGACATTTCTCTACACTTGAAATGTCGTTCTCGACATTTCTGTGTCAATGCAAAAAATAATATTAATTATGATTTGACATCTTGTCATTTGCAATAAATGGAGTAGGTTATTTGTCAAGATGTCATTAGCCCTTTTTTTTTTTGCAAAAATGTCCATTTTATTGTCTTTGAATGGAATCACAAATTGTTGACCATGGGTATTTTGGTCTAAAATATACCAAAATGACCATTTTTGCAAAGATTTTTAAAAGTTGCCATTTTTGCAAGTGGCTAGAAGAAAGTGGACATTTCTTACAATTTCCACATATTATTTTAAATTTTTGTAGACTTTATCCAAATACGTTGGATTTTTGTAGACTTTATCCAAATAGTGCCAATTTTCCATACCTTTTAAACTTGTGAGCATACACACCTTTTTATGGTTTTCGTCAATGTTTGACCTTAATATATGTGCACTGAAAACGACCTTTAATGATTTCTATACAAAAATATTCATATTCTTCAATCCACAATCACAAAAAACCAAATATTTGGGTTACCCTTGCAAAATCATTGTATAATAATATATAGACCAAATCAAGAAAAAAATACTTTTTACTTTTTTTTTTTTTTTGGGTATTTTCATGTTTTGTTTGGCTTTTATTGTACTTTCTTGAACGTGCCTTTCAATTGTAATAGCATAAAAAAGGAACATAATAGGTATTTTAAAATTTACTTCCAACGATTTTATAAACAATTATATGATTTTGCAATATTTTTCATCATTTTTAGAGCATCTTCAATGATTGCACCAAATTTGATGAGCACAAAGTCTTTGGATTCCATCGGATAATCCATTGAAAAATAATAATAATAATAAAAAAAATATATATATATATATAGCCATAATGAAAGTGGTCCTTTGATAAAATTCCGTTGTCTATCTTCTAATATTTATGTCCAGACAAGGTGTTTTCACACAATTTCTCATATTGATATCTAGATAATATAATTAATAAAAAGGGCAGTGAGAGAGAGAGAGAGAGTCAACGTGACACATAATCATCCAATAAAATAATCACACGTGCTAGAGGACTTGGTATACAAGTAGGAAACTAAAACGCACGCTGGAGGACTTTCAGATGTTCATCCTTTGACTTTTGTCATTCAGCACAAGGTGAAAAGGACATCATTTAAAAAATAAAATAAAAATTTGTCAATGAAAATTAAGCTCGATTGAAATTCACACGCTGGATAAATTTAAAATTATTCCCCTTTGGTTGCTAAATTTTAAGGCTAATATGTCCTCCTTGTGTTAAAGACGGTAGTTCAAATGAATAAAATACACACGTCAATAATGAAAACAATCGAATGATCATAAATTTAACGAAAAAATAGCCAAATTAATTGTTGTTTTTTAACAATCAATCTCTAAGAGCCTGTAAAGATTATTTTCCGATTTTAATTACAATTCTAGCCGTTCAGCCGCCATAATGGACTTTGTTGTGTGATGCTGGGCCCTGCATTTTGTGTAATAACGGTCCAAAAATTGATTGAAAGCTTAAAATAATTTTTACCAGACATAGCCTAAATTTCTTCTTTCCTTCAAAGCTATAGTTTACGCATTGTAATTTCTTATAAAATAAGAAAAACTAGCGAGTTATTTATTCAAATAATCGATAATAAAGCTTTGAAACTCTAGTGGTCGTCATGAGTTTTTCAACAAAATTAAAGTATTTCCGAAAAACTCTCTAAATAAAAATGATCATTATTTTAAAAAGTTAATACTTAAAAGTAATATTTAAAAAATCTCTATTTTAACCTTTTAAAATAGAGAGTGGTTTTGGCTCTCTTAATTAAATAGTCAGCATTACTCTATATTCTTAATGTACAATGACTGCAATTAATAAGTCATAGAGTTAAATAATATACTTTTTAAATTATTCAAAACACGTTTAGCCCCTGTTTGACAATTATTATTTCAAAACTCTTTATTCTACATACTCATTTTCAATCACACATTCACATAATAAAATATCTGTAAGAGATATTACACCGATAATGTGCATATTATATTCATCAAGAGCATGCCGTTAATATGCGTGAAATCGAAACATCATTCGACTTACCGAAATCTGATTTGAGAAGATAAAATAGCGATTTACCGACTTCGAATAT